TTTTGATTATTTACATGTTAATTACATGTTATTTACATACTCTGTAAATTTTCAACTTTTCCAGTGAATAAGAGAACCCTCCAAAATAAAGGAAACAAACTGCCAGTTGCTGTTAGTGATTTTCAAGGCGTCTGTGCTTAAGCTCCTAATAGCTAGGATTCAATAGTGCAACCGAGTATATATAGCGACTTGGAAGGAAATAAATTATATGACGATTGACACAAGCATGATGTTTGGATAGAAGCTAGATGTAAGTTAACTCATAAAGGCTTCCTTAAACTAAAATTCGTTTTAGAGCCTCGTAAAAAAGTAATACATGCATTTATGTCACATACTGAAAAACTTCTTCTGGTCCCAGTTCCGGGCTCTCATCGATAACCACGATCCCATGCTTGTCTGTGAGGTCCAGAAGCTCCTCAGGTGGTGGGTGTTTACTTGTGCGTATTGAATTGGCGCCAAACCACTGGATCAGATTGAAATCTCTGATCAACGTAGCGTAATCGAAACCTCGACCTCGAATCTGACATAACAGAAAATAAAATGCATATACAGTTGAACGCCGCTATTTTGAACTCTCAGGGAAAAGGGAAAAAGTTTGTAATAGCCCCGATAGTAAATGACTGAAGGGCATATCCGAGGGAAATGGTTTTGAGTTCAAAATAACCGATCGAGTTCGTATTAGCGGGGTCCAACTGTAGTGAATACTCAATCGGGTATCGATCTGTTACCAAGCTAATGCCCCATTCACACCAACTAAACTAGTTTAACTAAATCAGGTTTAGGTTTTTTGGATTTGTCGATTACGGTTTGTATTCATTTTGAGAAGACAAATTTTTGTGTTGCTGCTGTGGACAGGTTATAAGACTGTTATTTTTCTCGCCGATACTACACATAAGATCAACCGACTTACGTCACTATCCTGCCGTTTACCGAAGCCCTTGAAGTAAAAAGGGACATTATTGATGAGGAATCTGGAGCCCTCCACTCGGACGGTTCTGAAGCCTACTGGTAGGGTGTATACATCGTGAAAGCTTTTATGTGACGTGATAACCTTCAGAAAGAAGAAAAAGAAAAACCTGAATAGTTTCTACTATCGCCTAGTTAAGTAACTCCTTTTCCTTGTACATACAACTGTTATTAGCTTTTATTTCTTGGCCTGACTCGACATGTACAAGTCCTAGGCCGTTTCCTGCCTTTGAAAGACGTTTTCTCCGTGGTTTTATTACAGCTAGGTCTCTAAAATCAATTCTAAGTGTGTGCGAGAATTAAAAGACCAATCCACGGGAAACTGTGTCGCAGCACATACATGTAGCAAACAGTAAGTTTTTTTTTCAGCCCTCTGAAAAGATCACAGATTTAAGTTTCAGGAAACAAGGAATGATTTCCTAAAAAAAAAAAAAAAACTCAAATCTCATGCTGTACGCCACGATTTCGTTCCGTTAAAAATGACGAATAATCTTTATCAGTAATTACCCTATGCCCCTAATATGAGGCGTAAACAAGGTGATAAAGAGAGCTTATATATGATGTACGCAGCAGAGGCAGGACACGTGTTTAAGAGTAGAATGTTAGGGAGAAGTACGATGTGAGATAGTATGCGCGTCACACGTATTTCCTCCCCTGTAACTCCTTGCGTCTGCTATGCTCCCTTTTCATAATATGGACGAAACAACTATTCTAGAACTCACTCTTAGTGTATACAGGTAGCCTGGGGTGTCACTCATACCAATTGGCCACCAAAGGGTGGGGAAAAACACCGTTATCTCCCCGAAGAACATCTTTTTACCACCCACAGAACCAACCACTCTCCCCTTCCTGTCGAGCAACTCGTAGCTCATAATGATGTCATCTGATTTGACTTCACTGGTAACACCGACTTCCGTCATGAATTTCACTGTGGCTTTGGTGTAGGAATGTTCGGTGAAAACGGTTATGTCAGATAAATGCACCTCGGGGGTGGTGTAGAGTTTTACTGAGCCGTGGATTCCTGCAAAGTCCACTTCTGTGACGTCATCACTAAATGAATCGCAGTAGTCTGAGCTGAGGGAAAACATCAATTAATAAATTGAATGCAAATATGTAAGCAAAACCCAAAAATATAAAGGAAAGGACGAAAATAAAAATGTTATAAGTTCCGGGTTCAAGAAAACGTCATTTCTATTATTGACGTATATCATCATAACTCGACAAAAGGGGCGTCTTTGCACTGCTGATTTCTTCCTTCCAGAGAATTAAAAGCCACGACTTATAACATAATTTCTCTTCACTGTACCATATATTACTGCCAAGGAGGATGACAGTTTCCCTTATTGACTGACGTGTTATTCTATCTCTTGCTACAGAGTTGGACAATTTAACTGAAGCTTTTTAAAAATGCGTACTCCATATTTTTACGTACGCCATGTCGCGTAGCCCTCTATACGTTTTGTGTGCCTAAGCTTTTTACATAATTACCTGTAGTGGCTCCCCACTTTTCCTGGTGATCTAATTGTGAGAGTATTATTGACCGCCACTGTCAACCTGTGCGAGTCTCTTTCATGGTCATTTAGTTCACGTGTGATATCAACTTCAAACGGTAGATCTCCTCCTTCGTGCTCTAATATCTCTTTATTGTTTAACCACTGGAGAGGGATCAGAAACAATAGTTAAAGTAGAACCTCTACTAACGTATACGTCCTGTTAGCAGACACTTAGTCATGGCCCCAGCGAAACAAACACAACATTTTAAACAAAAAGTGGATACCTTTTCTAAGCGGACACATAGGTGAAAAGGTGACTGACAGCAGGTGCAACTTTATGGTCCATATTGTGACTTGAGTTAATCTTTTCTTCTCGTGCTCAGTAGATATTTGTAATATATCTCCTTATGTAGATTTTTAGTTTTAGCTTACTTCCCGTCTCACCCCAAGATCGATCCACTTGTCTTCCGTTTCTTTCCTTACAGGGCCATTATACAGCCAAACCAAAACGATTTCAAGATTACTGAACTCACCACTTTGCATCGATAGGAAACACTGTCGAAACGTAGTACAACTCTTTTGGGAGTTGCGTTCCAGGAAGGAGGCACATAAAAGACCTTTTCATACCAGACCCAGCCAACAAAGTCCCTGAGCCAGCGCTCTTCTGTGATATCATTATAGCTTGAGGGGACAGGCATCGACAGCACATCGCCAATCTACAAGAATTGAGAAAAGAAAATCAACCTTTTCAGTAATAACACAGAATCAGCTCGGCTTACAGCGAAAAGTACTTTGTAGATAACAGTAACAATGAGTCAAACATTTTCTTTTCCGATTCTCTTCGATTCTGCGAGATTTGCAAGAACTTTTCCCCCGCAAATTGGCATTCATTTGTCTATTTCAATGGCGTTTTGATAAATTTTACACCCTTAAAGTTTTGAAGAAGCACGTTGAAGTTGATGATTGGATCATACGTTTAAAGAGTAATCGGAAAGTCAAGGATGCTGGTATAAGTTTGCAACGCAGAGTTGTACAAGTAGGCACATGTGCAGCTTGGGTACCTATTTTAAAACTTCATCAAATGGATTCTTATCAGTTTCCACGTTCCCACAATGAGGAAACAGCTTCGAGTAATCAGCTGAGAGCTGTCGTAAAGTAATAAACTACTTGTAAACTCAACTCTATTACCGGTTATGTGTACTGGATTCATGTTGCTTGGTAATTTGTCAGTTTCCCCAAACAATAGGCTCACTCTGAATTTCCGTTGTTTGTCGCATTTCTGTCGCGGTCGTCGCTTCGAATGGAATTGAAATTTCAGAAATTCGCTCAGTTCGCTTTCAGTCAGTGCAATACCCACACGCAGAGCATAAAAAACAGCTTATAATTATTTCCATGGTTATTTCATGGTTAGTTCAGAACTGTTCGGGCCTCCGAGGCCTGACCACGGTCAGCAGTAGAGAAACAGAATCTCATTTTCGTAAAAGGAGCTTCATAATGTACTAAAGTTTAGAACTGTAAGAACATTAACCCTTGACTTGACATTCATTCCCAGCCAAACGCCCTGTTTTATAACCTGACTGATTAGCATAAGGTCTACCGTTTTAACGCGGCGGCCAGCGACCTACACAGTACGCATAGGGATTCCCTACAGTGCTACAAAAATGACAGAGAAAGGGGGGCGTTCCAGCCATTTTCCACTTTCCCTGCTGAATAGTTTGCAGTTTCGTCTTTTTAATAACAGCGATGAATAGGCTACCATACATAAACTGATATAGCTTAATATATAAATCGGATTAACAATTCTTCGGGCGTCTCAGAGACGTGCTCTCAGACCAAAAGTCGTGTTAGCTGGATAATCCCCTTTAAATTTAAATCAAACTTAGACTGATATGAAAATACAATGGTTTGAAAGAATGAGTAAAGTATGGGGGACATGAAATACACTGATGGAACTACTTTCTTGAGCGAACTACCATTAAACAAAAATAACGGATGATTCTATTCATCTTTATCTTTGTCTGACGTGTAGAGGAAATGTTTTTCTTGTGACCAATCTGATCTATCTCAATAATGATCAATAATGAATTAATATTCTCTTAATATAAATTCAGCCTCACGGAGGTGAAAGTGATTTTATTCATCTAACTCACCATACATCACTATCTGAAAATCATGTTTTGTTCTATCAATCGGGGACTTGCAAACATGTTTTCTGGTGAGGAGTAAATGATTTCGGGAAAAACGAATATCACACCCGAGAAACACTCGATCCAGCCTTTGATTAAGTTGGTGTATAGACTAAACAATCTGTGGGAGTTTATATTCAACTGATATAACGACAAATGTGTAGTGCCTAAGAGGGAGGGCAGGATACTGTAGTGTAGTATTTGATCCTGTATTGAATTGAACTGGCAAGAAGATTGTAGAAATGCGCTTTAGATATACATATGGCGTCGCATTGTGTGCCTACTAAATTAATAGACCCAGCGCGTCCAAATTTTTTAATCATGTATATATAGTAATTTATTTGACGTTTAATAGAGTTACGTGGACCGCACAGGTCGTATATAGCCATATGCATATAATTTTCCAAAAGAGAGAATTTTTAAATAATCATTTCCCTTTCAAATTGATTGTTCTTCCTTTTAACTCAGTCATCTCGCATCGTTAAATGATTTTCATCCCCGTTGAAAATACGCTATTTTAAAACGGCACGGGAGGACTTTTCAAAATAATTACTTTGATGGACTCCTAATGAGTACACTGCAACAGATAATGGATACCCAACGGGAAATCTCGATTAACAGAGTCCAGGGTTCAAAACAAGTAATGATGGACAGTTTGTAGAAGAACACAAGCCAAGTCGTTTGAAACGATTTCATAAATTTTACTGGTTAACAATAATCTAAATTATGCGATAAAGTCTGTTTCTGAGAACTCGTAGAAAATCGCTTCAAATCAATGCAATACTCACACATGCAGCTCTAATTAAATCACGCCTGTTACCGCCGCATGTATTTTAAAATGTAGCTCACAAAGAGACAAAAAAAAAAAAAAACCAAAAAAAAAAATGCAAAAGTTGATAAACTTGTTCAATGTCACTGTGTTAGTGTGTATCTATATTTAAATCAAAGCTTTNCAAGTATCCGTCAGTCATTTCAACCTTCGATTAAAGGGAAAAAAAAAAAAAAAAAAAAAAAAAACCAAAAAAAAAAAAAACTAGTACATATCAGGGCTCGAAAAAAACTTGAATTCCAGCTGGCCATTGGGACATGTAGTCGGTTCTCAAATTTTGCTTGCCCTGGGCAAGTCTTAATGTGCTTTTTTAATGTTTTAGATGGCAGACAACTTGCCTGATCCCTTGCCCATTGGCAAGTGAGAATGAAAAGCTTCTTGCCCAGAAGGAAAATCTGCTACTTGTTCCGGACGACCGGACGGCACTTTTTTCGAGCCCTGCATATGCACTAAGCCTCCTTCTACGTCATTCAGACTTTTTGCCTGGCTTCTGAAAAAAACAAAACAAAGAGTCTCTTTATTTCACGTCTTAGAAGCTACAGCCAATCAGAATACAGAAAAGCCGCTGCATACTCGATGATATTACACTCAGCCTTCCCATCGTGCACTGCTTTGATTGTGTTGGTCACTGTATTTTCAATTGCATACATAAAGGCGAGTGTGCATATAAACACACAAGAAATTGCAAGTGACAAATGGGATATTCCATGGTCTTCCATGGTTTATCACGAGAACGTTTAATAATTAATTATAATATTTATGGCTACACACGCCAAGGCATAAATATTCAGTTTTCATAAAAAGGAATAAAGAAGTTGAACACAATTAATGTTCACTTAGGATGTCAGTAAAAGGCTTTTCAGTTTTCACCACCAAAGTTTTCGTGCGTAAGAGATCAAAAACATAACGAATGAGCGAAATCTGATATTGCCTTTTTCTACTCGTAAAATGTGCAGCTTTCCTATATTCAGAATCGTCAGTGATAGAACAGAAGAGAATGGTTCAAATAATTCGATTCTTAAAGTTGCCTTATCAAAAAGTATTTTTGTGGCTGAAAGAAAAAATGGAAAACAAGGTAAACGGGCGCGAACCATTTGTCCGACTGTAGACGACGCAGCTGCTGCAGTAATCGCATATCTGACAAAATGTCTGAAGTGATGCTTTTATGCAAATAAATTTTAGAATGATCGACATCTTTAATGTGTTTCCCGGTTGTCCCTTAATTTCCGAAAAGAAGACATCTGACTATGTTAACGGACATCGTCAAAAATAAACACAGGTATGTATTTACCAACTGATTTTTATGACTTGTATTTTCAGACCGATACCTGATCGAGATACAATTTTTGTGGCTACTGTTGCTAGGCAACACTAGACACTATGTTATTTCTAGAGTGCAAACATTGCAATTTTAGTATTTTTTTTTGTGGTTTAACTGAATGCGCTTCTTTCGTACCCCTTCCCTAGACGTCAGGTTGATCAAAAAAAATGTGCGATAAGCACAAGGCAACGCACGCAGGCGCAGAGCGGTTCATAGTGTCCTGAAATTTGGATCAACCCGACATTGCTCTTGTGCTTGTAATTTTAACCAGCCACTGGTTCAGCCGCAGTAGAAGATAACCCTCAAAGACTCCTGCTAATTTAACTCAAAGGCGAATAAAAGAGTTGATAAATTAGAAAACTTAGGCCATTAGAGAGGGTGACAGCGCCAAACAAAGCAATCATAATAATCATAATAAACCAGACAAAGACTTTGCAAATTATTCGTCAGATAACGACTAGTTTTTTAGTGTACTCTTAAACACCCCTCCCTATTTTAAAAATTTAAAATAGACTGTACTTTTAAATAGACTGGCCCACAAAGCAACAAAACTTTTTGGGTTTAACTGGAACAGTTTACCTGGGCTAAGGGCAGCGAGTACCACATTTCTTCAAACCCGACTGACGAAATATCTGCCCGGAAATCCCACATTCCGTCTAAAGATTTCACCTGTCGAGTCTCCGACTCCCTGGGGTATAGCATTCCTCGAAGAAAGCCCGCCACACAGTAACATCTCAATAACAAGGGTAACAAAAAGATGTGACAGGTCAACGCCATTTTGATTGTCGCCTTCGTTTGTTCAATCTGTTATTTTTGTTAGTGTAGAGCCTCACCACTCTACCTGTTGGGCACTTGCCTCGTTCAAGTAAACAAATGTTAATCTTAATTTTGACCTTTAATATTCCAATAGAGTTTTCAAATATTTCTTTTGTATTTTACAATCTTTGTATGTAATTTTTATCGCAGCTGAGGTTTCATCGAGTTTTATATTACAAAGTTCGTTTGTGAAACCATTTAGCATAGCGTAACAAAGCTTGCCAGCGTCAGGTAGCAAAGATGTACTTCAATTTGATCATATTCAATCCAAGTGCACAAGTTTGATAATGGCTTCATGTCTCGAGGATTTCTCACCGCCAAAAAGGAGCACATTCGATGGTCGGTGCATGGTGTTAATCAGACTTTCGGCCATTCGAAAAGAAAGTGTTTAAACTCGTTGCAAAATACAGTGAATCTATTGGAATACGATATCAAAAAACTCCCTTTTTAAGCTAGTTTCTGTGATATTTAGGCAGCGTCCACACTTCGCCGGAGAAAAACTAATTAAACTCACGCAGGAATTTGAAGACGCAGCTTGATTCCTTCGGTTTGGCTTACCGTTCACACTTATCCTTCACCAAAACGGAGCTTTTCGAAAACGCTCAGTCAAATCGGAGGAATTTCATTTTCGGCTTTTCGTTTTCGTGTAGACAGAAAGCATTTTGAAAACCGCTGAAGGTTTTTGAAAACGATGACCTCACGATAATCATATGATCTCCCTGCCCGAGAATTTTTTCCAACACAAATCCAAAATGCCCAGGGACTGTTGCGTTTTTAAATTCCTCCGGCGTAATGTGGACGAAAATATTTGCTGCGTTTTCAGAGTGAAATCGCCGTCTTCAAATTTCTCCAGCGTAGTGTGGATGGGGCCTTAATATGACTTATACATATAGAAACTCTTAACACTATTCCCAACTGTTAATTATGTAATACAATGCGCTCGCGATCGCGTGTTGAGTTCTCGAGTCGTATCATGGACACGGCCAGTACCGCAGAAAAAGATCGGCTGAAATCTCAAAAAATTCGCATTAAGAAATGTATTCGGAACAACGAAATAACATAATTTTTATTTAAACATGCTGCGATATGTCTCGTTACAACAACAACAACAACAACGACAACCATTTATTTGTACTCACAATTTATAAAATAATTACAACATTAAATTACGTTCCCATGTAAACCTTTAGTTTTGAATATTTATCCACTTTAAAACATAATATCATACTTACCACTCCTTGAACCCCCTTACCTCCAACTTTCACTCCCCCCTCCTCAATCACCCCTTTTTGCCGAACGCACTCCCCTACTTTCCAATTATTTTTGAATAATTAGTTTTGAACAACTATCCACTTTGAGTGGGCTGTGAATGGGAATGTAAGTGGCAGGTGTTTCTGAAATTTTGCGTCAGTGTATACGTGTTTGACCCACGGTCAGTTTAAGATGGCAATCTGTATTAAAATGTGATCACGTTTCTTAGTCATCGAACGTGAGGCCGTTTAGTATGTCGTTTACGATCATGTTCTACATGGCTCGATTGCTAGTTGAGATTTTGGCCATATCTCAGTTGCATCTGAGCTAACATTTTGGTCGCTTGTCAGTTGTACGGTTATGTAAAATTACTGTCATTGGTTAACCTTAGGTCTACCCAGCGTTAGTTATAAGAGTAAACTGACCAAACCCCAGATGAATTAACGTGAACAACATTATAATTGTGATGATACATTGTTCGTGGCTGGTTTGACGCAGCGCTTTCGTTTCGTCCCAGTCAAGGAACTCTTCAGAGACTAGTTTCTGCTTGGCCAAGTCGTTGAGCATCGTGCTCAAAGTCCCGTTCGTCAGATTAGCCACGAACAATGTACTATAACAAGTAACTGTCAGCTTTTATTAACCTCATAATAACGTACATATATTTTATGAAAATACCACTCAGACTGAGAGTGACTCTGAATGAACCTTAGTAAAATGGCAACTCAGAGTGGTTTAAATTTGGCATACACCAATATACATTATACAATATACAACCCATCAGATGGGGTAAAACAGGAGAGATCAAGATGGCTTCACTATTAAAGGTTTCCGGCCTTTTTGGAGCTGAACCATTTAGCCAGAACTGAGGGTATTGGCAGGCCTATCACGCGCAACTACGTCGTATTAATCAGTGCAGGGGTCGTTGTTTCACGCCTCCACAAACCGCAGTTCAAAGCTACTAGGGCAATTTACGGGCCGCAACTGTCATTAGATCGACCGGTCTGTGCGTGCTTGTTAATGTGCGGTTCAGGATTGGAAAGTCATTAAAGTGCCACAGCCTTCATGAAAACTCAAAAGAGCTGATTTCATTGTCTAAATCTAACATCAAGATATTTCGTTTTACCAGTTCAAATGGTACTGTCGCCCGTAACTAGACCTCATTAGCTTGGGCGGTTTGTTGCTCCATTTCAGACCATGTGATGATACTCTTGAGAAGTTTTCAAATGGTCGCGTGTCTATGAAAGAATAATTTTTAGATGGATAAAAGAACAGTTCTCTAGAGAATATAACGTGTTCTGTAATGGAAAACAAACCGCCCAAGCTAAAAAGGTCAATTGTAACGTCTTTAGCAGACTCGTGAATTGGTATTATAACTAGACAAAGAAAAAAAGGCGGTATTAAATGCATAGTTAACCGATTGTCATCATTGAGTCTTCTTAGAATATATTACCATTTCCTGGGGCTATTGACAGAAGCAGCTGTAGTTTCTTGGCTTATAAAATTATCAAAAGTTATTTTACTTATTGATCAGCGAAGAATTGGTGCAATTTATAAGATTTTAGTCTTAGCGTATATGATATGAGTTTCTGACCATGGCTTGATGGTCTCCTTATCGTAGCTATAGGCAAAAAACACGATTAACATTCAAAAAATATTCGGAAGTGCCATTTTTCCGTGGGAGAAGCGAAAAAAATATTTCTTTGAACTTTAGGACTGCAAGTTAGGTCGTTTGGTAAACAGTTTATTAATCAATTTAAAAAATATTTTAGTCTGTTCTAAAACAAATCATGATTTTTTAATACTATCACGTTATTTGTTGCCTGAAGCAAGTAAAAGAATTAGACTAGCTAAGCAGCTATGTATATCTAGCTCAGAGAATACGGAATATTATGATAAAGGGCAGTTCACCGAGTTACCAGTCTAGTATTAGGATCCAGATTGCAGGTAGATTCAGTTCTTTTCTATTGGTCTCTCAGGTAGTGTACAATCAATTTTGATCTATCCCAAACAGTGCAGAAAGTTGAAATTTAGTGAAAAAAATTGAACTTGTCTGCAGCAAATTGAAATTACATTGCATGTGTATCATTACCAAGTAATCAAATGATGTTTCTCGTTCAATTTGGAATAAGTACGCACTCGTGATTTTTAAAGACTATATAATTTTTTTGGGCTTTGAAAAATTTACGTCTGCTTATTTATTCCAAATTGCACTCGAAATCATTTGATTACCTATACAAATAATCTATTGTAATTTCATAATATGCGTTGCTAGATGACGGACTCAAGTTTTACCTTTCGGCGGGAACTATAATAGTCACGTGTTCCCTGACTAATGCAAACAAGTGAATGTTTGACTGCGCTTAACTTCAGCTATTGTAACGTGAAGCAACTGATAGAGATCAAGATGGGATGCTTTTCAGACATGGGCTACCTACGCGTTTACGGGAATAAGGCCTGCGGCGGATCTACACTTCACCAGAGGGGGCAAAGAACTCACCGGGTCGAGATTTTTTCCAGGTCTGCTACAGAGGAGTGCGCCAAGATGCTGGCTTTATTCTTCTGTAATCTCTCCATGGACCTACCTCAACATCGAAATGACACCAAATTATTTAAAAAGAAGTTAACTTTGGATCGGAGTTTGTTCGTGCTGCTTAGAAAGTGGCAGACTAAATTACACTAACAACTTACTCTATGCCAGTGGACACCGCGGTCTTGATTGTAAACACGTAGCGACCCTTTTAGCGTTGTAAAACTATCAAATCATTACGTCAAAGTGAGTCAAGAAAGCTACAATTTCAAGTATTGTCTTAACGATTCAGTGAGCACGAAGAAAGCACAGAAAGTGAATAATAAACACTAAGGTAAATATTGACTAAGTGCATTGAGTCACCAGCACTGATAGAAAATAAATTGAAACGCGTCATATGCGACTGGCGTACGTCTCTCAAAGGGGGTCCACAAACGTTTCAAATAGATCTGCCCGGTGTATAGGCACTATGTGCGAGCTTCATGCACTGCAAGCATTGCGGAATTCAGCGTTTCCATACGACAATCTCAATCGGTGTCAATAATTAATATTTTATTGTGCTTCTGTAAACTTAATTAAAGAGCTCGTTTTTAAAAAAGAAAGGAATGTCACACACTCTGTTCCTAAGGAGGTTCGGTACTGTTATCAGGTCAGTTTGAGGCGCCTGAAAAGTTCACATTGGAATGTGTGAAATCTGACCGTCAAAAGGTTTTCCAAGACGTGCTTGCGACTGATATTGTGCTCAAAAAGGGAAATAATTAGACACTGCACGCCTTTCGTTTAATTATCCATGTTTTAAACTTGACCCAGTTTGTGCGTGCCCTTGAAGAAACATTAACTGATAGCTAATATCAACTAATTTTACAAGAAAAATAGAACTTTACACCATCCAAAGAAACATAACACCAAACGTGTTGTGTCCCACTTAAGGATAGCACCTTTCACGACTTTTTTGCGAAAGTGTGCCGTCTAATCAGTTGTTTGAATATTTAAGTATTCTAGCGAGGGTGTCACGGCGTCTAAGGCATAACGAAGGCTCTGAAGCCAATATCTCGGTTATAAATTATTCGTGCGTTCAAAGCCAATATCGCAAAAACAAACATTTGAAGAGTTTTTCAAAGCCCACTCGTTCGTGTCTACGTTTACGTTGTCAACGTTTGTCTGTCAGGACGGTCGGTACAAAAGAAATGTGAAATTTCTATAGCCGCCGAGGTCTCGGTTGACCTTTTTGCTAAAAACTCCAATTGTTCCAAATACTGAATTCGAGTAGATTAAAACACAGCAAAGATAACGTCAGGATAGAAAGACACGAAAAGGAAGCCGTAATTGACTTTTGCCCGTGCAGCCATCAAATAGGCCGCCATCATAGGTGGTCACGTGGGACATTATTTCTGACCAATGAGAAGCGAGTAAATTGTAATGAAGGGTTCGCAAATGTTCATCGCCGAGACGAAATTTGCAAGATAAACCAAGCTGCCCTGCCAAGATGGCGGACTTAGAGGCGGTTTTGGCTGATGTTTCCTACCTAATGGCGATGGAAAAATCGAAATCCACGCCAGCGGCTCGTGCAAGCAAGAAAATTATCTTACCTGATCCATCGTACGTAGATTATTACGATCGCTTTTAATTTATATCTCCTGGATTGAGTTTGTTAACCTGAGGATTTAGCTTTGTTCCATCGAGAGCCTTGTTGCTTTTATATTTCCAGTGTTTATCATGTAATGCACAAGTATTTAAGCGAGAGAGGAGAGGTACAATTCGACAAAATATTCGACCAAAGGATAGGTAAGCGATTTGTTTCTAAAATGTAATGCATCGTTCAGCTGCCGTGTGTTTTCCTGCGCTCTACTCCTAGCTTGAGGGAGCAGAATACTCTGGAACCGAACAGAACATGATTCATTCAGAATATTTTGGTTTTCTCTGATGTATTTTACGTTTGTTTCATTATTTTTTCTCAAGGATACCTGGTTTTCAAAGAATTTTGCGAAACATCATGCGACGAACCCGTTCCTCAGCTGGCGTTTTACGAAGATGTGAGTGAGCGAGCTTTTATTCCTTACATTAATTTATTTATTTACCTATATATTTTCCCCGACTCTGTACAGGAAGCTGCTAGGCTGCCGCGAGTCGAGTAGAATATTTTCTTGAGTGGGCGGATGCTGGCCGAGCTTGCAAGCTTATTAAAATGGCAAGATCCAGATAAATTCGTCCAAGAATTTCTCCTGATATATAAATATATCTTGGCTGGGCTGCGTTCAAATTAGCGGCAACGACTCTGCAATTCGCGAGTGTTGTACAGCTTTATACGAGCGACCTGTAAATTAGGGTCGAAGTTTCGACCATTACTGCGCGACTACTATCTCTGGGCCAAGAAATTGAGCTTCATCTTACACTAGAAAATGTGCAGTATTTGTGGTTTTTGAAACGCTTGTGTTCACTTAGCGTTGAAAGGAAGTGTAGATTGGCGTGGTATTGTGAGCGGGGACGTAAGACGCGGGCTACAAACTACACAAATCCACTTCCTGCCTTCTAAAATTGTGGTGCTTTATTTCCTTCGACTTGATCCTACAATAAATAATGCAAACGCACGAATTACCCTGAGAGTGGGTATTTAATTTTTGTGACCCATACACGAACCATAACGCTTTTCCCTTTACACCGTCGAAACATTTGTTTTGTTGCCGCAGTTGTGACCGGTTGTTGTCATGTCGCGAGAAAATGACCGACAGAATTAACGCGGGAATGCGATAAACATTAAGTAGATACTAGATGGCTCGATTTTGTGGTATATAATTTAGGTGATGTTGTACACTTCGCGTGCGCGCAGTTCTAAGAATTCTACTAACATCGAGTCGAATTTACACTTGCTTAAAGGTTGCGTTGCTTTTGAATAAACATTGGTGAAATCGACACCGAGCCCGGTGGCTCAATTGTTGCATATTGAAACACGATTCGCGGTAACATCCCCTGAAAAATTCACCGTTACAATCGTTTAGTCTGTCTTCCATTGGCGTTCCGAATAGGATCGCGCGTTTTGAGAGTAATGTAGCGTTCGAAGCGCCAAAATTGGCACGTTCGTTCGTTTTACATTGTAGGATTTGTACAAGTAAACACAATGGTGTAGGAAAAAAAATCGACTATCAACTATGTTATTTTTCGTTCGCTCAAAAGAGACTAGTTGTTTCATTTCTTTGTCAGGTGGTGTGCGGAATATGTGGCCTTTTTCTATCGCAGTAACTAACTTATGTTAAAACATAAACAGAAGGGGAAAAAGTCTTGGAAATTTTTGTTTTTATGCGATTCCCTGAGGAGCCGGCCATTGCATGATTTAATATACAAAGTAGCCTTTGCGGAATAGCGGCATAAAATTGTACTGTGATGTAGTTGCACCGACTTTGTTTACGACCCTGGCTTAGAACAAGATAATCGCAAGGCCCTGGTTATTCTATGATTCTGGTTGTAAGTGCATCCGCCATAATATATGGCCGTCAAAGTCAAGTCATGGTTAGTGAATTATTAATGAACTTTTATATGGAAAATACAGCTCTTGAATTAGAATAAGTTGTCTTCCATTTAAATGGCAAGAAATTTTGTCTCTTTGTTTGAAAAAATAAGTTGAAAATCTACCCTGTGTGGATGAATTGTTTCCAGCCAAAATGATGTTATGATGCATAAGAATGCTTTACTAGATCATGTTATGTTTTTAATGGTTATAAATTCAGTGTTCTAAGTGTAGCAGGAAAACAGAATTAGTATGTGAAATTATTATGAAAATATGTATGTAGCTTGGTAATTTGCAGCCTACATAACTTGTTACTTGTTGCTTAATTTTGAAATGGTTTTGTTTACTTGTTTTTTTAATATTTCCTCTGGCACAGAGAATAAAATTGAATTCTTTTTATTTCAATCAATATGTTTTGGTCTCAAAGGTGGATGAAAAGTCTTGTTGTTATGTAAAGCTGATTAGCACATTAACTTTTGGGCAGACCCATCCAACTTAAATAATAGAAATATATTCATTGAAACTGAAGTTGTTACAATTAAGTCAAATTTTGCTTTAGAAATAATTCATTCATGTGTGGAAAACTCATTTGCATATGCTCTTATAAACTCCTTGTCGTATTAATATTGTAACTGTAATGTTTATTTAAGGATTGATGGAATTGCTTTAAAGCTTTTTCATTTTAGTCCTCATTAAAATAATTATTGATATTTGAGCCAAACTTTTCTTTCAAATTCAGATGACCAAATAAACTTTTTGATTTAACATTATGATTCCTTTAGCCATATGCCATTTGATTCAAAGGAACATTTTTGCATGTCCCTTATAAATTTCCAGGGTTGGTTACTTATCTATGTGTAGCCCTAACCAATTGTACACAATTGGGTACTTTGGATTGTTATTTGAGGAATAGTCATAATGACTCTAAAATAAATCATGATGGCTATTTAAGTATGCAGTTTTCACTACTTAGGTTCTGTAATTATGTAGAAGAGCTATATTATATCGCTTTAAAAAGAGCTGAGGCTTGATCATGTACTGAGGAAAAATAATGTACACGTATTATCTGTGTTTTAGAGCTACAGGCTAATAATTGAATTTGGAGGAGCTGCTTGTGATTTAGGGTTAGGTGATTTCACAGAAAACACAGCAACACAAAAGCTGTTTTAGCAATCGCTTTTTCATCATGTTATTCATTTTGCATGAAAAGTGACATCTGCACAACTTGCTAGTTGATTAATCGAGTTCTAGTTTCCAACTGTTCCAATTTAACTTTTTCATTAATTATTACAATAATGGTTCAATATAAAGGTGAGTCACTTAGAACTTTAATGCAAGTACATGTATGGTTCAAGACATGTACAGTTACATTTCCTCCACTCTTTAGACCTGTTCTATGTCATCAGTGTTTGTAAATATGTTGCATTATGAGGAAGATTTTCAAGTTGAACAGAGATGCTCGACTGTGGCAGTTAGCTAGGTTTCTGTTTTGTAGCATTAATTTTTGACGCTTTAAATTTTTGATGCTTTGCTGACAAGGCTTAGTTTAGCTTGGTTCTTGTGCAAGATAATGTATTGAAACCTTTTAAATTGAGTAAGGTTAACAGGTAGAGATTTCAGCAGCATTTTCACCAAGTTGCATGTGGCTGTTCAACTTTCTTTACTTTGTGTTATGGCACTTACTGCACAGCTGTGACACATGAAGTGACATGTGACATGATGTGATATGTCTCAAAAGTGTTACCCTTTTACAGTGTATGTGTTCAATTAAGAACACTGACAGGATGTTAAATATCACATGTATATTTAGCATGCTGTTGTCACACTGCAGCATACATTTCCCCTACTTGTGAAAGTCATATTGATTCTTGATGCAATAGACCTTTTTAGACTTTTTAGCTTGGGTGGTTTGTTTTCCCATTACAGACCATGTGATATTTTCTAGAGAATTGTTCCTTCATCCATCTAAAAATTATTCATTCATACAACTATTTGAAAACTTCTCTTGAATTCCCAAGAGTATCGTCACTTGGTCTGAAATGGTGCAACAAACCACCCAAGCTAAAAGGTCTGTTTTGACCGAGAAGCTACTATGAAGAAGCTACTATCAAGCTTTGTACATGTATGTATGTACATATATTTTATGGAATTTGTCCTAGAGCTGACTGCTATACAGAGATTACTTCTTTTGTCAATGTGATCAGGCATTCTGCCTCTGAAGCTCAATACATGAATTTAGCTGCTTTCGTTGTTCTTGATCTGATATAAGTTACAGTACTACATAATTTAAATTTAATTTTTATTTGCTAGTCTGTCTCTTTTCCTTGTTGTTAATTCTGCTGTATGGTTTGTGTTTCATTATATGGTTTTGATCCAGGACATGGATTTAATTTTGTTTTCCATATCAATGTTGCTGGTAAAGTTCAACTCTTATGTTTTGTCAAAAGAATACTGCTTACATTGTGTGCATAAATTTTGCATTATTTATTGCTTGAATGGCAAGGTACCAGCCAATCACAGTCAAGAAAACTTGATAAAAATGATAGCTGCTATCAAGCATCCAATTAGAGGTTGGCCAAGTGCATGTATACAAAAGCAAGGCTAATGAGATTTTGGATAAGTAAGATCTGGTGGAACAAGACTTTGCCTGAACAACAACTGAGGAAAGTGATAGAATTGTGCAAGTTTGTGGCACATCCTATTATCACTAGCATTGCTGCCCATGTTGATTGGGAGAAAGGCAAAATCCTGAAGTTGAACGCTGGACACTGAGAAGGTGGATTAAGCTAAGACTGAGGCAACTTGAATATTTTTCTTTTGTTGGATCAATTGGATCAGATAAGCTCAAATCTATGTATTTTGGAACAGCTGGATGCAATCCATGAATTTTTGGTGCAGCAACAATTCACTATGCAACCCAGTCAATCAATCAATCATTTATTTACCGACATATTGTCTAGTAAGCTAAAAGCTTGTTCAAAATATGTATGTGCAGATAAAAAACGAAAAGCCCATTGATAGCTGTTTGCACATTTTCTTCCCATCATGCAATTATTGATATTGTAACTTTTACAGGACTTAACTGTGCTTTAATAAAGTTTGCATGCACATAATTTTATGTGTACTTTCTATGTGTATTCAGTTGCCATGAGTGCATGACGTGCCTTGCAATGTTTTGTAGTTTTTCTGAGGTTATTGTTTTCTTTTCTTCTGGGGGGGGGGGATGGTCTCCTAAGTCAAATGAATAGGTAGGAAATCACAGTCTAGAAATCTGAGTTGTGCTGTAGTTCCTTACATCTGAAGTTTAGAAAGTCTTTTTGATTACAATGTGTAGCTCCCCCACCTCTCTGGAAATTTGAATTGAATTAAGCTTCATAAATTTCTTTAAATATTTTGGTCTAACAGAACACCCTACCCCCCAGGAAATTCAATCCTTTCTTTGTATGTGTGCATGTGTGTGTGTGTGGGGGTGGGGAGTGGGGATGAGGGGTGGGGAGGATGGATATTTTCTGGAACTGCACAATGCATGCATGTTTCATTGCTGTATCATATAATAACACATGGCATGTATATTGCAATACATGTATGTAGTATGAGTCATATGGTGATGTTGATCATTGGAGAACTATCATACAGCATAACCAGCTCTTTCGGCAGCTAATAAACATAGTCTCATGCCTTTGCTGTGGATCTCACAGTCTGATCTCTTATTGCATCAACTCCCTCAACTTTCTCACTCCCAGTATCTGGACTGTAAACATAGTGTGAAACATACCAGTTCTGAGGAAATAATTTGCAGACTTAATTTAATTTGAAAATCACTGTCTACATTTATGTCCTAATCTCAGCTATATATACATGTAGCTCCTCTCATTAATCAATCATTGAAAGAATTTTAGTCAAATTTTAGGGATATTGTCTGAAAGTGTTAAATGCCACCTGCGAGTCTTCCTTTCTTTAGCAAGGCTAGAAAGTCTTGAATTTTCTTGTACCACTGATTGCCACCCCTACATGTAAATATGCTATTGTAATTGAAATTTAGACCAAAAAATTGATGAAGCCTTCAAATCAACTTGAGCTGGGGTTGTGAAAAAAGTCAGTTCAGTAGTTGAAAGTAATGTTTTCACTTCTACCTCAAGTTAAGAAATTAAAAATATTGCCGTTCTGCTTTCAGTATGTACTTTGTTAACTAAATGTATTGTTTATTTTGTTTTTTTTATTTCACTTTTTGGGTCTTATTTGTGTTGCTATCCAAGTTAATATTGAAGGGTTAAACATTCATATGTCTTAAAACTACTCAATGCAGATCCGAGAGTATGAAAAACTCCAGTTCCAGGAGGACAGGCTAAAAATGGCACGAGAGATCTTTGACAAATACATCATGATTGAACTCCTAGCTTGCTCACATGTAAGTATCTATGCAATGGCCAATATTGTTGAATAAACTATTACAAATAATGGTGGTGGTCAGAGTCCAGGGTTTTTGACCCAGTCCACCAAGTTGCCTCTCCATCTTGCAAATTCAAATATGGTCTTAGTCTACATGTAGTAAGTTCAAGCATAAGCATACATGTATGTAAATGATTGTCTATTAAACAGTTTTCAAGTATTTTAATGTTCTTCATAACTAGAATATATGCCAAACAACGACACAGCTTTCCATATTCTATTCCCTGATGAAACATTATTTTTTCCCCCCAATCAAATCATACACATAAAACCATTCTGTAACAATTTATTAGTAGGAAATTTAACATTAAATCTTAGGGTGTTCACTGGAGGAGGCAACAGGTAGATATCTATTGCTCTCAAAACCAATGATCCAATTTTTGAGTTAACCAAGACCACTGAATAAAAAGAGTAAAGACACATTTGTACAGGTTTAGTCTTGATCTGAATTAAAATACTCACAAATACCAGCTTTATGTGTTTTTTCAACCTGTGCTTTATCACTTTTGTGCCTGTATTTTGTGAATGATTTACTTCAGATCAAGACTAACACTGTACAAATAAGCCTTGAATCTTTTTATTCTGCAGTCCCCCTTAGCTTGAAATATTAAAAGTATCTTCCTGTTCTTGCTTGAAAGTACAAGAGTTTGTTTATTCACTTTATCTTATGTTCATTTGGCTGTCTTTTATGTATCTTTACTTGTCTGATCAAAATACTACTGTGCATTAGTTTGGCAAATTAATTATTCTTTCTATTATCAGTCTTTCTCCCAGAGTGCTCTGATTCAAGTACAGAGTTCAATAACAAAGAAAGAACTTCCATCTACACTGTTTGAGGTAAGTGCATGTTGATTGCCTCATACAGTGTAATTGTTGTTTAAGTGGAGTCATTTGATTAGCTGCTTTTTGGTCAGTTCCCATCTGCTACAAATGCATCTATAGTAAGTGTGCATGCGACAGACCTTTGTAGAGAAGCAGAAGTTCAAAGAAATATATTGTTATATCTTGTATTAAGCCTATGCTTTATCATTGATTGATTGATTTGATGTTTCTTTTATTGGATGTAAGTTACATTTCAATATTAATGGCTAGTTTAACAAGGTTTAGATTTTTCCAAGATATGTTATCTAGGTTCTTTAGGGCAGCATAGCATTCCCCCTGTTTATCTGATGGTGTTGTAATAAGTTTAGGAAAATTTATTATTTTGTGAATAATTCTTGTTCTATTTTATATATGTACAGTGTCTGTAGAAATACTTTGTTTATGCCTTCCACCATATCACACATGTAGCTGTACCATAGAATAAGGTTACAACGATGAAGTTCATCTTAGACATTATTAATGTTAATTGATACTGCATGACAAATTTATAATTTGTTACCGTAGCCATACATGTTGGAAATTAGGAACAGTCTAAGAGGATCAATCTTCCAAAAGTTTCTGAAAAGGTAAGTTTTGCTGAACTTCTCGCTGAGATACCTCACATGGGCCCTCATGTTTACAAATGTGTGTCATTGAATTTGATTGATTAATTTTATTTAATATATTTTGATTTTCATTTCATTAATGAGAACTGCATCCTTTTTTGACAGTGACAGATATGTCAGATTTTGTCAGTGGAAAAATGTGGAACTTAATATTAACGTAAGTTGACTGAAAATGTGGTTAATTAGAGGGTGGCAGTGCCTTAAAGGCAAAAAATTTAATGCGTAAAAGGAATGTCAAGATGTTTAGAACTGGGCCCAGTTGCTCAAAGTTTGCCAGTTGTTCAAAGTGTGCTATCCAGAGGCTAAATTGTTGTCAAGTGAATAAGTGAGGTTAAAACAATGCTTTCTGTTGGATAATGATTTATTTAGGGTGCATAGTGTTATGCATTCTTTGAACATATGGGGCCTAATTTATACTGATAATATCAACCTACAGTATATTAAGAACAAGTAGGACTTAAAAAAACTATTGACTATTGACTATTGTCACAACTTTTCAGTTGTTAGCATGCAAAAGGAGTCCGTTGTTTTTTTACCATGAACACTATCATGTATTAGCATGCTTTGAAAACTACAGATTGAGTGCAGAAGTGTATCTAATTTTAGCATCAGGCAAATAAAATAAGTCACAAGAAATTGGGAGTTGAGTTTTGGATAGAAAAGTCTGTGATTTCTGCAATGTACTGAGATGTGACATTTTACAATACATCAAGAAACGTACAACATACATGTACATGTAGTTAACAAAACTGCTTCTCAAGATACATTAACACTTTAGTTTACATGTACATGCACAAAAAAACATACGACTAATTTTCAAAATGTCAGTGATATTTTGGGTCATTGAAACCAGTTTAAAAAAAATTGGGAATTGCAGTTTTCAGTGTTTATATTTGTTTTCTCTACAGCTAACCATGAATGACTTTAGTGTACATAGAATTATTGGCCGTGGTGGGTTTGGAGAAGTTTATGGTTGCAGAAAAGCTGACACAGGAAAAATGTAAGAATACATTTTGTTAATAAATGTTGTGTGCACATGCAAATGTAGTTAATATGAGATAACATTTTGGATGGATGTAAGCCAAATTTGGCGCGGAAAAAAATCATAATGAACATGCTGTTTGCATGAGGCAAGGAATGGTAGTACCGCATAGTCAAGCCTTGATTTTTGGGGTGTAATTTCTAGCTTCGTGATTGTCCAGATTTTTTGCTGTGGGTCTTAATTGTTGTTCCCTCATAATTAATTGCATTTTCAATTTGCACTGTTAATTATCTACTCTCTTTTCAGAGGTTCTTGTGATTCCAGATAATCATGTTTCGACCGTGACCTGTAGCAAGTCATCAATTAAGTTTGTTCTGTCATAATGTAGGTATGCCATGAAATGCCTGGACAAGAAAAGGATCAAGCTGAAACAGGGAGAAACCTTGGCCTTAAATGAGAGGATTATGCTGTCCATGGTAAGTACAGTAGGACAACATGTACCGTAAAATTAGTAATGTACCAGACTGGATGTACTCTGAAAATAGATTAAGTAATTAAGTTGTTCTATTTACAAAACTTCTTTACTTTTAATTATTATGGTGTGATACATGGATACTTAAATGAACTTGACAAATTGAGTTTGTTTTATATTGCTCTGTCATAGTCAAAACAGTTTTTTTCATAATATATATTTGTGAATTTAAGTATTCTATGAGTAAAAGAGTGAAAGGTTAAAACTCTCAAAAGTGTATGACATCACTGTGAAATGTTACATGCATGGCTAACAATTATATATGACTGGATTTATGAAAACCGTGTCAAGACTTTGCACCAAAATAGCCATATGCACTTTGATTTCACAATGCCAAAAGGACTTGAAATCACTCTAAGCAATGGAAAAAAAAGAAAGAAAGAAAAATAGAGAGAGAAGAGCAAGAAAAGAAAGATAAGAGAGTGGAGGAAAAAAGAGACTGACATTCCTTTTAATTTTTATATTGTCTACTTTTGGCAGGGTACAATTTTGTTATCATTGTTTTCATAAATCCTGACATATATACATTTTTTTTGTACTTTTTTACAGGTGAATAATCCTTTCATTGTGTGCATGACATATGCCTTTCAAACTCCAGACAAGCTTTGTTTTGTGCTGGACTTAATGAATGGTAGGTTATTAGCATGTTGCTGGAATCATGTTCCTAATTGCCCCTCAGGCAACTGTTGTTCATGTACATGACCTTGTCAATTAAAAGAGGAACCAGTTATACAACCTCTGTTTAATTCAGTCTTAAAAAGTTTGATACTTTGTATCCTTAAGAAACACATGTTTATTAGGAGGGCTCAATATTTATGATCTAGAGGGAATTTACAATCTTTGTAGAGGGGTCATTTGTAGTGTTCCAAAGTTTAACCAAATCAAGTAGAAAAAGCTCTACATTGTATAGTCAGTACTGTATTTGAGAGTTTAATAAATGTATGTTACAATCTTGTATGTATTTGGGCATGTATGTTGTTAAAAGTATTTACATGTAACTGAAGTTAGAGAGTTGGCCATCTTTCTGTTAGCATTTTTTAAGCTCTGTACATTTAAGCATTGTGTGGGTCTGTCCTGCATGTTGTGCATAATGTTCCAAATTGAGAGATGTTATGAATGTCTATGTGCACTTTACAAGTACACTTTGGACTTCAAAGATGTATTTCTTCTCTCTACAATAGCCCTCTTCCTAATGTTTATCTTACATTTTCTGCTTTCTCTGTATAATACAGCCATTTCAGCGAAGGTCCTATAAAAGTGCATACATTAATGCTGAATGGTGCTATGGGTAGTGGTTGTTTGAATTGCAGTCGTTTTGCTTGTTTGCTTGTTTTGCTGAATCCACTGGATAATAGAGCCACCAAGTATTTACCCTCTAAAAGATGGTGTCTTCTGAGTAAAACTGAATATGTACCATCCACGTCAAGTCTAATAAATCTTCACTGAGGCTAGCACAATTTAACAAACCTTCCTTTATGACATTGTGTAAGTCACACTTGAGATATTCTTGGTCACGCAAGCGAACTTGATACACTTGTCAATCAAGATGACCACGCCACACCAATCAGAAGCCTCGTTCATGGGAGAAGAGGTTATTCAAAATCCAGGGTTTTGTGGGCAAGCGTTCCATCTCTCACCCCACCACCCCCTGCTTTGTCTAATTTTTCCTCTTGCTCCAATTTATGAGTGGTCAGAATGCAGAAAAGCTCTTTGTACGGGAAAGCTTGCTATGCAGGCTACCTTCTTTTCTACTAAACACAATGGGGTTTGATCCATTGCTACCCATAGTACCTTTCGGTATTGTCATATGGCCTTTCACACTTTTGTAGGACAACCTTACTCAAAATGTTTGTATACTGTGTGTGAAACTTTATAACAAGGAGAATGTTTGAACCAAATATGAACTAAATTTTCAGGTGGTGATTTACATTACCATTTGTCACAACATGGTGTCTTCAGTGAAGATGATGTAAGTTCTATGAAGTCTTTGTTTAAAATGTGCGGTTCCAGAAAATATCCATACTCCCCCCACAGAAAGGATTGCAATTTCCTGGGGGTGGGGGGTTCTATGAGACCAAAAAATTTAAAGAAATGTGTGAAGCTTAACTGGAATTTCCAGAGGGGTGGGGAGGTGTTAGAAAAAATCCCTTCTGTGGGGGAAGTATGGATATTTTCTGCAACTACACAATATCAGCTTAATTGAAATTCCAAACTTGAAAAGGCAGTTGTGCCTTGGAAATTGGATTTTTATGTTTTTCTCTCTGGACTTTTTTTGTAGCACCTATTGCATGTTTTGAAATTTAAGACTTTTTAACTCACCGAACTATCTTCTCTTCTATTTTGTATTACCAGGTACGGTTCTATGCATCAGAAATAATTTTGGGACTGGAACACATGCACGATAGAAGAATTTGCTATAGAGATCTCAAGGTCAGGCATAAGACATACTAACTTTAAAAAGTTGATATTGATAAAGTTATTGACGTAGAAGTTTTTCAAGCGTTTTGTTGAACACGAGATAAAGTAAAGGCATCATTAGCAACAGTGTCTCAAGCATGTTCTGACATGTACGGGCGAATGTCGAATGCTAATGGCGGATTTTCGGAATTTCAGAAGTCTGTTGATAAATTTTGAATGAAAAGATTGGAAAAGTCGCTGAGTATAGGTTGTCACCTCGTCTTAATTGTTGTTTGATATCTCTTGGGTCCTTTGGAAGGCGATTGTTCAAATTTTTAGGATTTCTGTTCATTAAAATTGCAGGCGTCTCCATCACGTTAAATATTGATTATTTTCAACACAAACTGTATCGTAAACATAAATTATGAAACGTAACTTACGTGTAGTGTTGCCTTGATTCTTATTCCTCCATGTTTGCCGCCAATTTTAGCACTTGAATGCAGTTTCCGTCAAGGATTTTCTCGCTTGTGCGCAGTGCTTCCCAGAGGCGTTCTCCACCTTTGCTTCTCGCTGGAGCAAATGCTTGGCGGGAAAAAGGTCTCACGTGACCCCTTGAACTGACCTTATTTGGTATTGTTCGTTCAAAATTGGCGGGAAAATGTCATTACGTGGCTGCCAGTCAACTTGAAGTATTTTTAAACAAATAAGGTAAAATTATGGAAACCTACATTATTAATCATCTTCCCGTTTGATGATGAATTGATTTTCGTGCATTTTTTTTTCACAGCCCGCCAATATCCTGCTAGATGAACATGGTCACGTTAGAATATCAGATCTTGGACTTGCTTGTGACTTCTCAAAGAAAAAGCCACATGCCAGCGTGTAAGTGCCGTTTCATGAAGATAATTTCTAAATAAGCTTACCTCTTTTTGTATCTTTAGTCAAAGAGGTGGAATTCTGTATGCAGGCCTAGGGTTGAAGTGATAAGTGTGTGGGTTGTAGAGGGGTTTGGGGTGAGAGGTGGGGTGATGGGTGGGGTAGAGGGTTTGTAAACCAGGGGAAATAAGAGAGGATTTGTGGGAGGCAAGAGTGTTGGAGTTCGTAACATAATCGAAGGGGGGTGCGAGGACAAAAGGAAAACTTAAACTTTGACAAGGTAAATAAAAATTACAAAAGAGTACAAATGGCTGCGTCTTTAAGCGTTCTGGGCCCTTGTATTAAAGAGGTACCGTAATATTACATTCTTGTAATAAACTCCAGATTTGAATTTGCACTTTTATTTTTTGTGAAAAGTAGGAAACATCATCGAGTGATGTAACATTGTTTTGGTTCAAATAACAAACGAATTATGGTTATGGCTTGAAATGTAAATCACTTATATTTAGGAAATATTCTACCCCCTTACTTGCTTCAATATAAACCGTGGTGAAGGTTGTAATATAAGATAATTCAGATGAGTAGTGTCAGCTGATTCCTTTCTGTCGTGTTGTATTTCTTTAGTGGAACCCATGGCTACATGGCTCCGGAAGTTCTGAAGAAAGGCGAAGCATACGATTCTTGTGCTGACTGGTTTTCTCTCGGCTGCATGCTGTTTAAATTGCTTGTGGGGTAGGTACATCAATAAATTTAGTCTGAATACAGCCATCCCAGCAAGGAGAAGAAGAAACCCGAATGTTTGTTATTTTGGCTCGATCTCTGAGACTTTTCCCGCTCGTTCCTGGTGGCATAGACTGTCAGCGGTCCGCCATATACTGTATATAAATGTGTCACAAAGTTGGCGACCGCCAGCTATGTAGGTTATTCGACACAGCACACTGGGCAATTATAAACCAGCCTTGTCGCTGGAAAGAAGGAATGGAATTCTAAGGGTAATTTAGAGGAGGATTCGAACTTTCACCGCGAGGATGGGCTTGCCACGAGAGCTAGTATCTTTCTCTTTCAGTTTATTTGTTCTTCACAGAGAACTTTAATACGACCCAAAGAAAGGCAAACATCTCTCCTGTTAGGTCCTGTTACGCTAACCAACGTAAACGGTACTGAACTAAAAGTATCCTATCTTTTCCTGAAGTATGTTCCGTAGTTAATTTGGACTTAAAAGGATTATTAAGTGCTTGTTACTTGTCGTTTTTACAGGCACAGTCCCTTCAGACAACACAAAACTAAAGACAAACACGAGATTGATAGACTAACGCTAACTTACGTAAGTATGATAAGAAAAACACGTGTCCATGCACTTTCCATTACTTTTATCTCGGTTTATTTCACGAAACGAATAACAGCGTCATGGTGCAAACTCTTTGTTGCATTTATTTTAGCTCCGTTTCTGGACGATAATAATCTCCGTTGGGGTAATTTCTCATCATCTTTAAAGCATATGCAAGTAGATCACATGTTTATAATGGTAGAAGGTCTAGAGGGGATCAGATCAAAGTATTGGAATAAGAGTGTCTAGTTTCAAATGAGTCTCGTTCCCAGAGCTCGAGCTCCTCCCTGACGCAGATCAGACGAAGAGAGGCTCTGGAAACGAATTTAGCGTGACACAGGTGATGATCAAGAGCATGCGCAGTACGATAGGTTTAAATCGTGGTTCTTGTACTCGATCACATGCAAACATACATTCATAACCTTTATGCATACATGCTTACATATTTTATTTCTACTTTAGTCTAAAGATTTAGTTTTCTTATCTTTGTAAAAAGCGAAGGAAGTATACTTTTGTGTGCACATTAGTCCTGAAGAGGCATAACAAACTATTTGGGTTTTTGAAGGTGGTGGAATCAGAAGTTTCCTTATCCTGTTCATTACTCTTCTAGGATGTAGAGTACCCGGAGTCGTTCACTGAGGACATGAAATCGCTTCTCGCGGGTCTCCTCAATAGGGACGTCCCCAGCAGGCTCGGTTGCAGAGGCTCAGGGTAACCTGGCTCTTTTGTTATTTTGACTTTGTACGAATTTAGGCGAGGGAACGTCGGTCCATTTCGTCAGTGTATCCGAAGTGTTTCCGATCGTTATGAACCAATACAAAATTTACACAAGGATACGAGAGCAGGCGGAAAGCTGTGTCGTCAGCCTCTCGTCATATTGCTTTGTGTCACCTGGCAACGACTGGCACGACGACGGACCCATTCAAAAACTTTCGAAGGCTAAAGCGTTGCTCTTTCTTCCAACGCTTTGTTTTGCATGGCTTAGAGTTTCACGTAGAATCGCTAGTACGGACATAAAAAGGAACTAGTGCTTTACCTAGAATCTTCTTGTTTGTCACGCAGTCTATCTGTAGTTATTAATTTCTGAAGAAACTGTTGGGCTGTGTGCAAGTGGAACGCCGGTAGATTAACCACCGTAGCATGTTTATGAGGCTGAAGTTTCGAGCGTTAGCTGCTTGTCCGAGCAGCGGAATAAGTACCAGTAGCCTTTGTTCTTGGAACTTTTTTAGCAGGAAAATCGCTGTACTTATAACGAACTACTGAAGGCTTTCTCTTTCCCTTATAGAGCAGTTGAAGTGAGGCAACATCCGTATTTTGCAAATTTAGATTGGAAGCTAGTCGAACTCTTAAAGGTGAGGAGCCGTGTTGCTAAAGTACAGCTATTCCTCACTCCGGATATAAGCCCTCCCGTTCTTCGTCTTGTTTCGTCTATGGTGTTACTCTCACAGGACAAGTAGAGTATTGAATAGTAGTCTAGCTATGCCAGCGCTAGCCCTGTTGGGTGATTGGTAACAAAGCCAACTTCTCTACTAGATAGCGGTTTATCTGGTAAAAAGCGTTTATCATGCTTTGTACAGGCTGGGCTCTGATAAATAAGACTATTTAATCTGCCATATTTTGTAGTATGAATCTGGAAGAGACTGAACAGTTGGTCTTCTTTTTATTGTTATACAGTATCCGCCCCCGCTTGTTCCTCCCAGAGGCGAGGTGAATGCCGCTGACGCGTTTGATATCGGCTCATTCGATGAGGATGATGTCAAAGGAATCAAGGTAAGACTCGGAAAGTTGGACAAGTTAACCCACGTATGCTTGGTTTGGCTGCGGGCAGTGATGAAGTGTAAACATATTTTAAAAGACCCTAGTAAGTCCACGCCATTTTCGATACCACCGAAATTATTGATATTGCATAGTTAAGCGAAATCTTATTGCTTTACTGTAAGTTGTGTTCCAGAAAGTATGTTAATTATCTTGAGTAGTTTCACAGTAATTTCCTTCGTTTCGACATGTTCCGAATAAAATGAAAAGGCCAAACTCTCGCATGTAAACAAAAGCAAAGGTGTGGCTAACTAGGGCCCTTTAAGGCCGAGCGTGTTGTAGCAAATGCCTTCGCAAACTCTTATTGTTAAACTTAAACAAAGTGTTGCTTCTTAGATGACGGAAACTGATCAGGAGATTTATAAAGACTTCAACTTGACGGTGTCAGAAAGATGGCAACAAGAAATCGCTGGTAAGGGAATGTCAGTGTACAGGTAGATCTTAATACAACCCAGCTGTCGCCAGATGTAACGTCGGAAATCTCGCTCTTCCAGCCATTTCCGAAGCCAGTGACTTTTAATACCACTTGTGAGAAGCGAGAGGTTGATGTACAAACGGATGACAAAGAGGTTGACTACACAATATAGTTTAATACAAAAGCTAACTATAAAGATCAAACTGTCAAGTATTTTTCTCTTCGTGTATTTTGACAGACTGTGGGGAGGGGGGATGGAAGACTCGAAATGTTTAGGACACATGTGAAAAGCACGAGCAAAGACCTTGGCGGGAGGGGACATATAAAAAATGTCTATTGCTTTCATCACCCTTTTGGTGGAAAAGATTTTCTAGTAGACCGGTTTCCTTTGACACCTTTACTGATCGTTGTGTCTTACTTGCAGAAACTGTATTCAAGGTTGTCAATGAAGAACATGATAAGTTAGAAGCCAAAAAGAAAGCGAAACATCAGAACTCTGTCACAGGTCAGTGATTGGCCTTTGTTAGAGATCCATCAGGTTTCTAATGTCTAGTTCCAATTTAAGTTGTTTCACATGTAAAAATATTTCCCGGAACGGACGCTAGATATCAAATGAAGATGTTATTCCCCTTGGGGAAACTTCTTTCAACGATAGCTTTTATGCAAGTGTCTTCTCCCTTGGAATTCCCAGTGCCGGCTTACGATATGTCCAGCCGTCCAAAATGACTCCTTCACTTAAGGTTACCGTATGCCTTCAGGGGTGCCTCGCGTCCAAGCGATGTAGCGCGTCCGGTTTAAGCTGTAGATACCTAAGCCCCTATATCAAATTAAAGCTTATAGAGCTGGCTATCAAACCATGCCAAAAATTTTGAAATAAAATGAATTGCCAATTTTTTCACGGTCACCAAATGCAAGCGTCCTAATCACCTTTTGGAAGCTACAAGTCAAAGCGAATTTT